TAACGCCTCTCCACAAAGATGATTCCACACAGGATATTTGTGAATGGAGAGGGAAAGTTAGCTTCAGGCCTCTCTTTGGCTTCCACCTCTTCATCCTCATCTTCATCCTCAGAGTCGCTCCAGGACACATAGTTGTCCTGGTTGCGGTTGTTGTACCACTCCACACTTTCAAACTGCTGCCGCTCAAACGGCTTGTATTCGTGCAGGATCTCAAGCAGCCGTAGGACCTTTGGCGTGACAAACTTGAGGTCCAGGCAGGCGGGGGAGAAATGCTCCTCACAGAGAGCGTGCACTTTGCGCAGAATAGTGTCCGTGAAGAGTAGAAATTTGCGGCTGAGTTCCTCCTGCTCGTGTTTGATGTACTTCTGAAGCTCGCGCACCATGATGCCTGCTGCCTTATCTGCACACCAGGGCCCCAGCACCTGCAGTACGGCCCGGCAGTCATTGAGGACCTGGACGGGAAGGGCACAGAATAAACAACAAGTTATATTGATACTAAAATTATTATTCCTTATCCAGGGATGATGACCATTATTCTCTCACTGATGAATTCAAAATACTGGCAGTTGTACCCTTCAGCCTTCTAGTATGGTATCGATTTTGGCATGGTGACGACAATACCACAACATTTTATGGCTGAGAGGTAAAAAGTGCGGCGAAGGATCCACTAATGGTGCTGAAATCATAATAGCTGCTGACTGCATCGGCCCGATGAGTAGTTACATTTCTTGGGAGGCGCACATCCACTTGTCTTAGATTTAGTGCTGAAGCATAATTCAGGCATTACATCGATGGTCAACGCTCAGGGATCAGAAAATGCATAAAGCAACAGCCTGATGAGTCCAACACACGGGTGTACAGTAAGGTTGGGCAACTGGACGTATATATCTACTATCACTGACAGGCTGAGGTTTTCACCCATCGTTTTTACAAGAGCAATTTATTTATTTGCCCATGAGTAAGTTTTCTAATAATGTTGGTTGAAGCTAAGAGACGCAGTCAACGGAAAAAATAATGACACTATTTTAACAGCATCCTCTTCTAGCTGCAAACAAATGCAGCAATTCATTTACTCAAACTCATAACAGTAAAAAAGAAAGTTCAGAAAAAAATCAAAAACATTTTATTTAAATTAAGAAAAAAAACCCACAATGGTGGGGAGGGAAACAAAGAGAAACTGCCTTCTTTTTTCCACTATAACCGTGTTTACAGGCCGTTCCAGTGTTTGTCTGACTTACACACTCGACCAAACAACAAAGACAAAATTAAACCAAAAGTAAGTTTAAAAAAAGTTTTAAAAAAATCGCCAACGTAATGTACAGTACGTAGCGATCGTGGCTCAAGAGTTGGGAGTTCGCCTTGTAATCGGAAGGTTGCCGGTTCGAGCCCCGGCTCGGACAGTCTCGGTCGTTGTGTCCTTGGGCAAGACCCTTCACCTACCGCCTACTGGTGTTGGCCAGAAGGGCCGATGGCGCGATATGGCAGCCTCGCTTCTGTCAGTCTGCCCCAGG